CTACAATTGATAAATTCTTTAAATTAGACTTTAGAAGATTGAAGTATGTTGACTCAACGACGAGTGAGCGCATACATTAAGATGATTTAAGTATTCACAATTTTTTCGTATATATTTACTTTAGGGTCTTCCTTCACCTACTTACATATATGCTAGTTAGTTATTCATTTGGTCACCTTTTAATGAATTCATAGTATAATGGTTGCATTTTGGCTCCCTTCGGCAAAAAATCCTGGCTCCGCCACTGCTCATGCATGACTATCTTACCAATGTGCCATTTTTTTCGCCATTGTTGATCCCCTATACATGTACATTTCGCTCGTTTTCACTTCTCGTTGTCCTCAATTAGTTGGCTGATTAGAACTTCCACTGTTTGACATACACATTAAAAAAATTTACAGACTAGGGAACTTCTTGGCATATAAAATTTCTTGTAACCAAAATTTTGGGGGTATAGGTACAATACTTTCCAGATTCTGAAAGAGCGTGTTTATCAAATATAAAAAGGCAATATTTTGACTGGGTATATTGTCAAAGCATTTTCTAACACGTTTATGTAATTTAGGTTCTGGCTGGCTTTCACTGTTTTTTCAGTGTCAAACTTCGCCCTTTTGATGGTGGCGACGATCATTACTGTTTATGTTTCTCCAGCTGCAGCTGGATCAGGGATACCAGAGGTGAAAGCTTACTTGAATGGTGTTGATGCACCTAATATCTTCTCTCTTAAGACACTGTTAGTGAAGGCGAGCACAGTTACAAACTTTCCTCCCTTCATTATTTTCATTTTTTTTCTTCAATGTTAAATAACTTGTTGGTTCCAATTACAGATTATTGGTAACGTTGCTGCTGCGTCGTCATCTCTTCAGGTGGGCAAAGCAGGCCCAATGGTGCACACCGGTGCGTGCATTGCTGCCTTAATTGGACAGGGAGGTTCTCGAAAATATGGCTTGACATGTGAATGGCTTCACTACTTCAAGAACAACAGAGATAGGCGTGATCTTGTGACCTGTGGAGCTGGTGCTGGTATTGCTGCTGCTTTCCGTGCACCTGTTGGTGGTGTTCTGTTTGCTCTTGAATCAATGTCATCATGGTAATAATATAACCTGATAAATAGTTTTTTCTTATTTGACTCTGTTTACTATCATATACTAGAAAGAAGCAGTTTTCGGTTGCATTAAGGATATATTTCACAGGACCCTCTGGAGAGTTTGAATGTTTTGAGCAAAACCTCGTGAACTTCATGAATCAGCAAAAACCCCTTTTGAACTTATTTCACTAGAATACCATGAGTGATGGCAGGTAGTTTAAGTTGTCATGTGCGAAGCATGTGACACTTTTTGGACAGTTTTGCTCTAATGAACTTTATATATCTTCTTTAAGACCCTTGTGTTTTCTACAAGGACAGTTTAGACATCTATACAAGACAAGCCTTTTGCTATAATTTCGAATAATTCATGGTACTGTTATGCAGTTTTTGGAAGTTCATGATAGTTTTCTCTTATAGGTAAAGGTTTATATGGTAGTTGGTGCAAAACTGCCGAAAGTTCATAAATTATTAAGTTTGCTATAGATTGTTTCATCTCTATACTGTCAAGAATTGATATTGCAGGTGGAGAAGTGCCTTACTGTGGAGAGCATCCTTTACAACAGCTGTGGTTGCTCTCATGCTTCAGACGATTATTGATATGTGTAATAGTGGAAAATGTGGTTTATTTGGAAAGGGTGGGTTGATTATGTTTGATGTTTCGTCGGATCATGTTGCATATCACCTTGCGGACATACCTCTTGTTATCCTCCTTGGAGTTATTGGTGGAGTACTTGGAAGTCTCTACAATTTCCTCATGGAGAAGGTTCTTACATTCTACAATCTTATCAATGAGTATGTCTTAACTTTCTTCTTTCTTCTTTACTTCTTGTTTTAGTCAATTCCTGTTATAACTCAAAACAGATATAAAGAAAGGTATCGAATGACTTGAGTTATATTTCAATTTCAGCTGCTCACAATGAAGGATTTTCATCAGGAGTTTGATTTCTTGTCATAATTATTAGCATGGCCCTTGTAAAAACTTATTTGTCATTCATACATGAGTTGTTTCAATTGTTGATTCTTTTCAAATTTACTGAGGCTAATCTATTGTTTGATTGTGAAATAAGAAACCTAGGAAGATGAAGGAAATTATCAAAAAGAATATACTGCAATTTGAAATTTCTAATCAAATAATTCTCAATTTTTCTCAAATTTATAACCAATATCAATTTATAATTTTATAGATATAATCCATCGACAACCGAGTAGCCAACTAAAATCATTTGTCAGTTGTGGAATTGGAAAGTGCTCTTTCTTCCAATAATTATTCATTTGTTGCAGCAAGTTTATAATCTTAGTATAACATATCAAAATAATGTTTTTATTCTATTGTTTTTCACAGGCAAGGTCGGGGCTGCAAACTTCTACTCGCTGCAATCATTTCGATACTCACATCAGGTTGTCTCTTCGGATTACCATGGCTTGCATCTTGCACGCCTTGTCCTGTCGACACAAAGGAAGCTTGCCCATGTTGGGAAATTACCCTGATTCCTTTATTGCCAGATTTGAGAGAAAGCGAAAAATAAAATGCGCAGAAATTGGGAACGCAAGATTACGTGTGGTTGCACAAAATTGCTACGTCCACGGGCTGCTGGCCAGATCTTTCACTAAGTGAAGAAATATTACAAGCACTCTGAAAATTTGCCCTCTCAATTTTCTCTCTTGATTTTTTTCATCTCCAAGTTCTCTCACCCTCTTAGGCTCTCTTATTTTTTCTCACGCCTTTATATATATAGCTACTAAGGTATGGTTATACAAGAAGAGGGTGGGGGTTTTAAGCCTGAGTACCCCCTTGTGATTTCTTGCCTGCATTGACAAATCGCTCTCATTTTCTTCCTCTTCTCAAAATTGCGCTACTGAAAGTCTTCCTCCCTTTTGATTACTAAAGGTCCTCCTCCCCTTTTTGATCACCGAAGGACCTCCTCTCCTTTTTGACTAACAGCCCATCAATAGGCAAGACTGGCAACTTCAAGAACTTCCAATGCCCTCCAAACCATTACAATGCTCTCGCCAGCTTATTTTTCAACACCAACGACAACACAATCAAAAACCTCTACACTTCAGGCACAGACAAAGTGTTTGATAAGTTCTCTGTCCTTATATTCTTCATCACAAGTTATTTCCTTGGAATCTTAAGCTATGGGGTTGTGGCCCCATCTGGTCTCTTTGCGCCAGTTATATTGATTGGTGCAACTTATGGAAGATTTGTTGGTATTCTAATGGGATCAAGCTCAAATCTGGATCATGGCCTCTTTGCTGTCCTTGGTTCAGCTTCTTTTCTTGGTGGCACAATGAGGATGACAGTTTCAGTCTGTGTCATAATCTTAGAACTGACCAACAACCTTCTACTACTTCCTTTTGTAATGCTAGTTCTTCTAATATCTAAAACGGTGGCTGATTTATTCAATGCGGATATTTATGACCTAATCATGAAGTTGAAGGGTCTTCCATATCTTGAAGCCCATGCTGAGCCTTATATGAGACATCTCACAGTTAGTGATGTGGTAACGGGGCCTCTCAGAATGTTTAATGGTGTGGAAAAAGTTGGAAATATAGTTCACATTTTGAAGACAACTGGACATAACGGGTTTCCTGTTATCGATAAACTCCCATTTTCAAACTCATCGGTGTTGTTTGGTTTAGTTCTTAGAGCTCACCTTCTTGTAGTGTTGAAGAAGAGAGATTTCTTGCCAGATTGTATATCACCAAGTGGGAATGCCTTGGCGCGCTACTCTGCAGAGGAATTTGCTAATTGTGGAATAGGCAAACGCGATAGCATTGAGGATGTTGTACTCACTGAAGAGGAGATGGAAATGTTTGTTGATCTGCATCCATTTACAAATGCATCTCCTTATACTGTTGTTGAGACCATGTCACTGGCGAAAGCTATCATACTTTTTCGAAAACTCGGTTTGAGGCACTTATTGGTTGTTCCCAAACCCTCTTCTGTAAGTATGCAAATACTTTAGATTATACTCGGTTAAAATTTTATTTAATTCGAATACAGTCCACAAATAATTGTAATGAACCTTGCATGCTTGTTGTGCTCAACTCTAAACCCGAGATATTTCTTTGTTTGTGATACTGCAGAGAGCACCTATAGTTGGAATATTAACTAGACATGATTTTATGCCTGAACACATACTGGGANAAGAGATTGAGATTTCAAAGGTCCACTTAAGCCAAATACTTCAGGAGTTTTCTTATGGGACGCAACTCTGTTGATTTGTAAAAGGCGAAGATGACAGGCATTCAATCTCCAATGCTGCGATAGGAGAGGTTTTGATTCATCACAATCTTTTCTTAACTGAAACAGTGAAGTTCTTGAATCCACGCATGAATATATTCGTTTTATAAGCAATTCCTCTTCATTTATATACTATTTCTTCCATTCTCTTCAGCCAAAACAGCAAATATGCAACCTTGATGATTTAAAAGAAGAAAAAAACAATTTGAAGAGGATTGTTTAACATCCATTATCACTTTAATTGATGCTATTGAACTTTTTCAAGAAATAATTCTTTCAATATTTTAAATATCTCATATTGTTAATGCTATTACTGGCTTTTAGGGGTGGCAAACGGGTCGACCCGACCTGACCCGACCCATATAAAATTTGACCCGACCCGTATAAGTGTGACCCGACCCGACCCGTTTAATAAATGGGTCAATGTGATCCAACCCGTTTATTAAACGGGTTACCCGACCCGACCCATATAACCCAAATGGTAGAGAATACTAAACATTTAGTGTGGTTGTAGTAGAAACTTGCATATTCTATTGTACTCTTTTAAGTGACTTATGCACACAGAAACCAGATTACTATTTCTGATATGTTTATAAAGGTTCACTGCAAATTTCTGACCTATGCACATTTGGAGATAAACAAAATAATAAACAAACCATCATCAAAAAATGAAACAGAAACAAAACCAGGCATAGATATTGTACTCTTTTAAGTGAAATTCTTTCAAAATATTGAATGGCTACAATGTCATTCTACATACATACGCATCAAAAAAAAAATTGGAGCAAGATTACTCCCATTAGAATGTTATACAGGTTCACAAACAGATTCATTTCAAGCTCTCTGCAACAAATCCAATTTCACAAAAAGGTTCATTTCAAGCTCTCTGCATATTCTATTGCTTTCTTCTTGACGTGTTTAATTCTTTCTTCATCACGCTGTGACTTTTCATAGCCGAGATACTTCATGAATAAGAACTGCAAATTATTCGAAAATAATTTGATAAAGAGGGAAACAACACAAGAAAGTAAAATTGAATGTTGAGAATATCAGAACTTGGTGTAATTTCAGTATTCCTAGAATATGCTACCAAAAAGGTAAACTATTGATTACATACCTCAAATTAGAGATGAATGACCAGAATAATACCTCAATGAAATAGCGAGGACCTGCACGTTACAAAAGTTTTAGCGGTACGTGAAGCTGAAGGAACTTTAAAAACAAGGAAAAAGAAAACAGTAATGCGCTTCTGAATGAAGCAGAATGGTTGATGCACCGTTGGAAAATGCTACAAACTTACAGCATGTGTGTGAAGGACATTGAACTTGTAATGAAATGGTCATGAAAGTAAGTGGAATTTTCTCATACACGTAGTACTTGTGCATTTATCTAACTAAAATCTCATCTGTATAACCTGACACAAAAACTCTCAGGAGTCAAGAACAGGCATACGAAGAGATTCAACTTGTTTCACTGTTAAACTAACATCAAAGTGTCCAATCCAAACACAAACACTTTGATCGTTAGGGAAATAACATTATCTCAAAGTGAAACCAACATATAGGCTGATTTGAGGTTCATAGACAAAGGCTGAGTGATGGTTATCCGCATGAAGAAGGCAACAGTTGAGAAAGTTGAAGTAAGCTTAATGATTACAAACCGAGTACATGATACAGTAGCAATGTTGAGTGTCAGGTTTTCTTTAACGAAACAATGTGTGCATTGGATGAGGGAAACAATGTAGTACATGAAACATCTAATATGACCAACATCATTATCTTTAAGCAAATAAAAAACTGTAGGAAACGGTAAATAAATGAATCATAATCATGAACTTTTCATTTTTATTTGTGTTCCAAGGAAAGAAAGAGAAAATACTGAAGCATGACATGTAAGAGAACAAAACATTAACATAAGCATTCCTGAAGATATGCAGAACTGTTGAACTAACTATATCAAAATATGCAGTTGACCACCCAAACACAATTCCAAGAACTTTGGCGAAAAAAGCAAGTGTTCTAGACTACTAAACAGATACTTCATTTTTTTTAATTTAAGAAAAATAGTATACAGTTCAATTAACAGTTGCCTGTGAACATACCCAGAATTCAAGTAGCAACAAAGGCATCGATTATTTATTGGTATATCAGCCTATGTATCAACTAAGAGGAAACTTTGAGCTACAAAATATCAGTTAAAATATAGTAGACTAATTAAACTTACAGAAAAAGAAAGTTGAGCATGAATCTCTATTGTAAAATGAGAGAAGTGTGAACTTCTTGGATGAGACATCAATTTGGTAACAAAACTGTTAAATTTAGTGAAACAAGTTCTTACCTTCAGCTACCGCATCACAGTATGAGAGATTCATACTTGTGTTGGCATACATTCTCCAATATCTAATTGTATGATATCCTCGGAAAGCTCATCCAATTTTGGTTGCATGTCATCTATCATTAATTTTAAGAACATCGGCTTTAACTGTATTTCTTGATATGTGTTTTATATCCTCACAAAGATAAGAGAATATTGCTCGAATACCTTCATACTCAACAAATTGAAATGGCAAATCGTGCATAATGATGGCCGAGACTAAGAGTTCCCTAAACTTATCCGGGTCATAATTAAATCTCGAGGAACTCATTATAGAATCTTTTGAGTTAGATAGACCTTCAATATCCTCTCTAGTTGCTTTCTTACAAATTTTCATGTGTCTTAACATGTTCTTTGTCCCGTGGTTACCTTCGGCAATATATTTGATTCCACACTTCTTACATATTGAATATTGTTTCCCACCTGGCTCTTGAACAAGGTCAAACATTTTCCAAGCTTTGGACGTTAATTTTCTTTTTCGACTTCCAACAATTATCGCTTTTGATTTTTTCTGAACAGGACTAGACATCTCTTCTAATTCTTCATTAGATGAATCTGCTTCTACATTATCCGCTATAGAATTATGGGTAGAATTAGACTCCATTAGATGTGATGAAAATTACAGAACTACATAAGATTCATAAAATTAAATAAAATTCAACAGATAACACAAATTAACTGATTCTAAACAGAATGGCTCCCATATAACCCCAAATGCTATTCAATCATATAACACAAATTAACTAATTCTTTTTCGCAAAAGATTGAATGTATCAACAGGTGGTACATTTAATTGCCAAATAAACATTGACAACTTCAAATAGAATGGCTCTCATATAGACTATGCAACATTTATATGCGGCTTTTTTAATTTATAAATAAACAAAAAATGAAGAAACCCAACGCACCTCTACCGAGCACAACAACTGAAACATAGTGGTTTAGAAGATATTCATTGTTCATCACAAAAACAGTAAGGGGCAAAAATAGGAGACCAAATTTGATGGTTTGCATTCACAGATAAATCTGACCTGATGCGTAGAAGCTCAATCTCAACAAGGCTCGAGTTCGATTGAGAGTTCTAACAATCAGTGATCTCTAATTTCAACAAACCTACTTTCGAAAATATGATGAAATTTCTGTTTCAAACTAGCTTGTAATTTCAACAAACCTACTCTTTATTCAGTAATTATAAATTCTGAAATTTTAGAAAAATCTATAGTTTCAAATTGATATAGACTCAGAAAAATCTGTAGCCATTAATCAGACGTCATTAACATTAGCAGATCTGAAGCCATTAATCAAAAAGCCCTAGCTAAGAGTGTACCTCGTCGCTCGTCGAGGATCGTCGAGGATCTATGGCCGCTAGTTCGATGGAGAGAGAGAGAACAATGGCTGCTTGATGGAGAGAGAACTCGAGCGCTGCCCCTCGCCGCTCGTCGAGGATCGCTACCGCTCGCCGATGGAGAGAGGAGAACTTAGCTTCGAGGATCGCTGCCGCTCGCCGCCCCTCGCCGCCCCTCGCTACTCGAGAGGAGAGAGAGAAATCTAGGGCTTCGTTTGAGAGAGACGAAGGGGTTAGTCGGGTCTGTAGTGGTTCACTTGGGTAAATTCGGGTTAGATGAGTGTTAGACGGGTCAGTAGACGGGTCAGTAGATCAACCCATCTAATAAACGGGTAAATTCGGGTTGACCCATTTATGACCCAACCCATATAACTTAACCCATACCCAATATAAATGGGTCGGGTCGGGTCGGGTTGATGGGTTGGGTCATAAATTGCCACCCCTACTGGCTTTGTAGCCAAGTTTTGTAGAGTAACAGGATCGCATCAAATCGTCATCACGTCCATTGCATTTCAATGAAAAAGAGGATTATGAAGGCCCCCCGCAATCTATTGTTCTTCACCTACAACTATATGTGTAAAGTCGTGTCATATCCTTGCACAAGAAATGAAACACCATATATTGGAAATTTTGATTCAATTTCAAGCCATTCTACACCGGCGAAAAACATGAAAAAGCTCATTCCAATCACTACGATGAAGGAAATTGACCTTCAGCCGCTTCATCTTCCTCTGCGAGTTCTTCCATAGAGCTTCCTTATCTCCCAGAGCTTCTCTCCAACTTCTTTCATCTCTGGTCTATCTGCCCGAGTTGGTGCAGAACACTGAAATGCCAGATCGAGCATCTTCATTACTACTTCTCCATCTACAGCTTCCTTCAGCATTGGATCCAATATCGCCATCCCATGTCCTTCATTATAATTCTTGAAAGCCTATAAGGGCCAATAACACAGTTAAAATCATCAACAACAACAACAACAACAATAACAACAACCTTATACCAAAATTTTGGAGTCAGCTGCATTAATCAGCTTACCCAACGAACAGTAATCCTTTCATTGTTGCTCTTTTTGAGCTCTACAGGCCTTCGAGCTGAGAGAATCTCTATAAGCAATATCCCAAAAGAGAAAACATCACTTTTAGACGTCAGCTTGTAAGTCTTGAGGTATTCTGGGTCGAGGTACCCAGCTGTTCCTTTCACTTGGGTTAAGATATGAGTTTGCTCTGCTTCTGTTGGACCAATTCTAGCAAACCCGAGGTCAGATACCTTGCCTCGGAAGCTTTCTGTTAGCATGATGTTTGATGACTTCACATCTCGGTGGATTATTGGCTTTTCTGTCAAATAAACATCTAGCATAAGGCAAAATCAATAATAAAAATGGCCATATTTTTTTCATCTTAGTAACAAAGCACAAGAATCTCTTATTCGAAGATTTTCCTCCAAAAATGTGTTATACGTGCCTTACCCGCATATAGATGGAGATAAGTCAGAGCATGAGCAACATCTATAGCTATCTCAAGTCGCTGATTAAAATCCAGAATCTTCCCATGCTGGCCTGATATAGAATTTTATTTATTTATTTATAAAAGAACTATATTAGTCTTCATATGACAAAAAAAGTCAAAATTTACCTAATGTCGGAGTAGAATTCTTACCATCCAGGTGCTCTCGAAGAGTGCCATTTGGCACATATTCTGTGATGACTATACGCTCATTTCCCTTTTCAGTGTATCCAAGTAACTTCACTAAATTTCTATGATCGATTTTCCTGAGGAGCTCAACTTCATTGCTAAACTCATCTCGAAGTGAAGAGAATTGTTCCTGTTTGATAATTGTTGTTAATAGAGAATCATCAACCACTATTTAACGGAAGAAAACAGGACTTGCAGAATGTAGGAAAACAGGACTTGCTATTTAATGAAAGAAAACACACTTTGTTCAAGAACTGGACAAAAATTAGTGGAAAAAATATATTATAAGAAGTCATAAATAATCTATAGAAAACTCCTATCCTTATCAGGAGAGCTACAAAAGTCTTATTCTTTCATGTAAAAAGACTAAATAAAGAAATGATGGGATGTACCTTTTTTGCTCGCTTGACAGCAACTATTTGACCATTTGGCAAAACAGCTTTGTAAACAGTGCCAAATGTACCTTCACCAAGCTTTAATGAAGGTGAAAAATCATGTGTGGCTTTCATAATTTGGCTAACACTGAGATGAATTGATCCCATCCTGTTCAATTGCGGCGACATTGCAAACCGAGATGGGCTAAGAGGTACTCCAAGTGGAGAGGCTGGGGTCTTTTCTTCCAAAGTCGAAACTGAATCTAGGAAGAAAAAAAATTCAGTCACAAAATCATTTAAACAAGTAAACTGAAACAATACAACAATCCATAAAACTCGGTATTCATCTTTCAAAATTTGGAACTCTACATAGCCTCACCTACATGAAATAGAATAGATTATTTACTATTAACAAGAAACACTCAGACCCCTCAGAGAGTAGGATCTCTTATATAGATACGAAGCATCAAAATGAACCATAAAAGATTGCATTCTACATTTATTGGATGAGCATGAACTTATTCTATTAACTAGAATGGTTTTTCCAGTGATAGCATAAAAGAGCTCATTTAAAGAAATTATGAAAAGATGAACACAAACTATGAAAAAATAGCTATACGACTTACTTAAGTCCATCTCTGTAGACATAATATTCTGCTCGCTGGATTCCTTCTTCTTGGCATAGAAACATGGACACATTAGAGCACAACACAAGAGGAAAGCTCCGGGTATAGCCAGAGCCATTGTTGCAGGTGCCAAAGTCTTCTCTTCCTGTTGATCCTTTCTATGTAACTGATTAGAGATGGAGGTATTTGCTGGTGTTCGTTGCAATAGTTTTCTCCCTTCCACTTGACGAAAGTTTGCTATAATGTAAAGGATAAGAAGGGGAAAACATCATTCTGAGTTGAGATTAACTCTGTTATCACATTGCTAAAAAAAAATTTAAACTGGAAACTCAACAAGAAAGCATATTCGGAGGGTGAGGTCTCTAAACAACGTAATTAATGGCAATTCAATACATAAAAAAAAAACCAATATCAGATTAATGAAACACTTTTCTCGTTGCATGATCAAACTTTTGTCATAATGCACATAAGAGAGACAATGCTTTAATTATCAGTCATAGAAATGCTACAAACTAACAAGAACATGATATTAAGGACCAACTCTGGATCAAATTCTTGTAGGCCAAAGAAAGGAGTCCTAGAACATTCAATCAGGGAAAATGATGCATATTAATTACGAGCACTAATTTCATATATTAGAACATGTGCTCACTTATTCCACTAAAGCCTTAATTAATAAAATTAGCCAACAACAGATATTGAAGGCCCTTGGTTAATCAATCAAACTGTAGCTCCCTATGCAAATGGAGAACCTATATCTTACTATCCAAGTTCTGGAATTTTCAATAAAATTAAGAAAAAAAATCATCAATTTCAAAGAGTCAAACACAGATAATATATATCATCTACAACCAAAAAGGCTGAAAGTCAACCACATCAATGCACGAAAACAATAACAAGCGACGACATGATCCATTTGATGATAAATTACCAGAAATTGCACTTTGGCGACTGAATTTCCGATCACAGTGCTTCTCCCAGATGCTTCCCCATTCTTCAGCATCAAACAAACATCCACGTCCAAAATAGAAGCCCAAAGCCTCACAAATCAAAAATTGATCTTCAACCCTCTTCTCATTAACAAACAGCTGATACCCATCTGATGATTTCACAAACCCAACTCGATCCGATCCACAAACCCCCAAATGGGTCTCAACTGAATTCGATGACTGTATCAGAAACAAGAAACCCAGCAAAATTAGGGCCATCAGGAGCGCAACTGAGCAAAGGAAACCCTAAAAGATCTCATTTTGAGCTCGAATTCGAGTTCCAGGAGTCGGATTTGGTAAGTTCTCCTCGAGAGAGAAGATCGAAGAGATGGAAGAAAATGGGGAGTCATTGGCAAGATCATTTTCCAGGGTTATATAATGCGAGACAAACCGGCGGTTGATCGTCGAGGTCTGAGACTGGTCCTTGGCGCGCGGATTGGATAAGCAACTTATAACAGCAAACAGCCAAATTTAGAAATGATTTACGCACACGTATACACATAGATGTCGTTAATGAATTCTAGTATCTGAGGCTAAATCGTACAAAAATACCATAAAGTTTCGGTTTTGGGAATTAAATACTGCAAGTTGTAATTTTGTATGAAAACCACCATAAAGTTTTTAAATTTTGCACGTTACTACCATCGGTCATGCAAACTTAAGGATTTTTACCCAAAAGTTTCTCTTTACGTATTTACATCCTAGTTTTAGAGCTTTTTAACTATCAATATTTGTTAAATTTGATATTAACTTAACCAAAAAATTTCAAACTTATTCTAATTTTAGTTTAAAATAGAGCTGAGATGTTTCTAATGAAAGTTTTAACAAATAGTAAATGTTAGAAATCTTTAAAACTAGCATGTAAGAGCTTCTCCAATGTAGCTTCAAATTGACGCAAAACGCCAAGTTGAAGCCGATTGCTCCCTCCAACCAAGCGGTAAACTCGACGCCAAATTGATGGGCTGCTACAGTGTTGCGTCAGGAATGGCACAACACTATAGCAATAACGCGAGTATTTTTTTTTTTTTGCTTTTTTTTCCTAAACTTTATTCTTTTATTCATATTTTCTTTTCTTTTTGCTTTTTTCTATACTTTATTCTTTTTGCTTTTGTTTTTTATATTTATATATTAATAATATATATTATTTTATATTAACTATTATAATAAAATTAGAGTATAAAATAATTATTAAAATAAAATTCAAAAAGGAAAAATAGATAATTTAATCCAAACACTTAAAATTTCATAATACTAGAACCAAATTAAGAAATAAGAAAAACTACACCATTTAGATTATAATATGTATTATATAATTATATGTAATGTATTATATAATTATATAATTTGTTAAATATTTTAAATAGATAAAAATGTTAAAAGATAATTATATAATTTGTTAAATATTTTAAATAGATAAAAATGTTAAAAGATAAGAATAATAAAAAGAATATTCTTTTTGGTGTAACATTTGGTGTAATGGGTTGGAGATGGAATAGTGATTTGGTGTAAAAACTACACCAACTTGGTGTAAAAACTACACCATTTTGGGTTTTATGGTTGGAGATGCTCTAAGTATCATGAAAAAAATATCTGAGTGAAATTTTTTTACGTTTGTATGAGATGATAATAACATCCAAAATCAGAAAACTCCATGCTATTTTCTAGTATTAAAACGCAACTTGTGATACCATTTATGAAGGAGGGGAACTTTTCTTCTCGAAAGTAGCGTTTTCAAAGAAACAAACATACTAGTTGCGTTTAATATTATTGCTTCTAAGAATAAGTCAACAAATTTAATACCCCTAAAATCAAATTTTGTAATATATCAATCACCCCCCTCCAGCTCATATGTGTCCCTATCAGTGTAATTTATTTCAAAAAACCCCAGAATGCCCCCCTTCTCCTTAAAAAAAAACTAAATGGTCTCAATTGTTCTCTACTTCGACCGTCAACTCCAATTGACAATGGCGGAACTTGTCCCTTCCTCGAACCTCCCATAACCTCCTGCACCACCACCCTCCCCTTGCCTAACGGCATGTACCATATTTTGTTGCCTTAAAAATAAAAATAAAACACAAGTAAATAATGCTAAGCTGGGAACAATATTTTGTTGTCTTAACATATTTGGTATTTATATCCACATGATTGATTTTTTTTTGCTTTATATTTGTTCGTCCAGAATAAAATTTCGGTTTCACATATGGTATTTGATGATCAACCGAATTGACTATGTTGACTATCTTGGGGTATCACACTAAATGATTGTTATCACTGTGCATATAGACTTCTTTAGGGCAAATAATCCTTTTTTTTTTCTTCTACAATAGTGTTTCATAGCAAGTTTTTTTTTCTTTTCTAAGCGGTGGATATGAGTTTCATATTATTGCTCATGAAACAACTATTGCTATATATAGGGTTGAGAAGTTATCATTGGTGCGTATTGTTCAATATCAGCATGCCATATCCCTGCAGCATAATTGATTGGGTTTCTCGACATTTGTCCAGACAACATTTTTATTTATTTAAAAGTTGGAAGATTGTCTTCTTTGATCAGGAACAACATCGACTCCATCGCTAAAGATGTAACTCCATTGTAAGTATGACGTGCGATGGGACCCAAAATAGGGGACTCTGAGTGGGACATGTAAAGTATTGCCTCACTGTCCCGTGATGCACTATTCAAACAGTGTATCGATGCGACACCTCACCTGTCTCATATATGGTCCCCTATTTTGGGGTCTCTGTAGCAACACTCTAGAAGTTACCATTGGTGCGTATTGCTCAATATCAGCATGCCATATCCCTGCAGCATAAATATTGATTGGGTTTCTCGACATTTGTTCAGACAACATTTTTTTATTAAAAAGTTGGAAGATTGTCTTCTTTGATCATGAACAACATCGACTCCGTTGCTAAAGATGTAACTCCATTGTAAATATGACGTGCGATGGGATCGTAGGTTAAATGACTGTTCGGTTCGAGCACTGTTGATGACCCGGATGGTTGGGAGGTTTCAATATAGCTCCCGCTATCCTGGGTTCGGTTCTCGGCCGCCTCATAAAAATAAGGACTGATTGGTTCATTGCAAATGCGTTTGCAATACAACTATGAGTTGCACATTAGCGCAGTTAGTCAATGGTTCCTATAGTTGCTGTTATTTGATTCAATTTAATTTTTTTTTAATCTATGAGGTTTGTAGTTGACCCGTGCCTTGGAACACAATTTTTTTTTGGGTGAACTTGGTTGTGGGGTATAATTGAAGTTGCAATTAACTTGGTTTTTTTTTGTGTGTGTGTATTACAAAATATTCATATAAGTCAGCTTCACTATTTCTACTAGAAATCCTGCATAGTTCATCTTTGGGCAGTAAATCAGTGAGTTTTGAGATGATTGTAAAGATAAATTAACAAAACAAAATATACAACCGGGCCATGTCTGTTGGATTGGGCCGGAGCCAGCATCGAGGCCCAAGTTCATTCTTCAAAGGACTAAAGAAGTTTCGTCCTCCTCATTTCCTCCAAAAGATCTCAATGGAAACCCTAGCCTCCCCGATCCTCCATGGCCGGGACCTCCCAGATCCTCTCCTCGAGCGCCTCCCCCTCTCCGGCTGGTTCCGTCCTTATCAACCCCATAACGACGCCATCAATTCCAATCTCTGGCGCTAAGATCCAGCTCCCTTCGGTGCCAATCAATTCCAATACTTTCAGATGAGCAAGGAAACTAGATGCAAGCACAGGCGTGCTGATTTGGTGGGATTTGATAAGGAGCCATTGCTTATTAAGGAGATTTTTGAGTACGACAAGAATAACTGCAGAGAAACTACTAGGCTTGAGCTGTTTAGAGCGGATCTCTGGCTGAAAGATGTGGGTGAAGGCGGAGAGCATCGGTGATCGAGTGCTTGCGATTTATTAGGGTCGGTCTTTTTCATTGTTGGCAGTTGGAGGGTGTTTGATTTAGGTAGTACATCGGTGATGACAGACATGCCATTTCCGAGGTAATACCTTGCGGATTGAGTATTGTTTTGAGGAACTATTCATGCCCCGCTGATGTTAGTCTTTGGATTCGAGGTGCACGTCCTTTCCTGTTGGTTAAAGCTTACGTTCTTTAAATTCAAAGTTATATAAATTGTATGCGCGTTTGTGTTAAATTTTCAGCTTATGTTAGTCATTGGATGCAGTGTTGCTTAGTCCCATCCTGGTTTCAGTTTTAATTGTTATTCTTTTTAGTTGGTGAGCTAGTCAAGGTGAAGATACGTAGTTGCCACAACAGTCATGGTTAAAATTAGAATAAGCGCGATGCTGTTTCAAATGCTGTCACGCATTTCTAGATTGAACCAGCTCATGCTTCATTTTTTGTGGTTGTAGCTACTGCAATTATGTGATGCCTATTATGTTCATGTTTCAGTTGCTTATTCAAATCACTTTTATTTGACACCTAAATGATCTCCTAGATTGAGCATCTGAAAACTTCACACAGTTTATTGAGCATCAAGAATATGCTAGTTTTTATTGTACCCTAGTTATATCTGTAAATGATATCAAGACACCAACCGTTTACTAAGAATGTTGTTTGGTGACATCCAACATGGTGTTTGCCATAAATAACTCCAAACTATTCCTGCAAATAATGTTAAATCATCAAAATCACATATGTATGAATATATATGTACGTGTATGTTTGTGTGTATATATGTGTGTATGTGTGCGCGTGTGCGTACATGCGTGCGTATGTACGTTTATACGTAAGTATGTTTGTATTTATATGTGTATGCATGTGTGCATGTACATAGGTATTTACATATGTATGTATGTATGTATGTGTGTGTATGCGTGCATGCATGTATGTATATGTTCATGTATGTGTGTGTGCGTGTGTATGTATGCGTGCGTGGGTGCGTGCATGTGTTTATGTGTATGCGCGCGCGCACACACACATACGTATGTATGTATACACGCATACATATATAATTTGATGCTATAATACATATGGTGATAAGATCTCTCTATGATTTTCTTTTCGAGGCCCTCATTTTTTTTACTTTCAGTGGAATCTGATATTGTAATGGTGTATAATGATTGCTTACTCTTAACTAAATTGGCTCAGAGAAAGATCCTTAAGAATGTTATTTTGCTTATGGTCAGTTACATTACATTGTTCTTTTGCTTCATATTGATCAATTCTATTTGCTTGATTTGCATGCCATTATGGCGCTAATATTTAGAATGTTAATTCTTATTTTCGTGTCTTTCATTACTTGGCATTGTGACGCAGCGCGGAAGTTGTAACCTTGGAATCCACCAAAGGTGTTCTCTGAATCTACAAAGAACGATCTTCGAATCCACGAAGAGCTTCGAATCCA